AATAATAATAATAATAATAATAATAATAATAATAATAATAATAATAATAATAATAATAATAATATAAATCATCTGAGTGATCTGAAGTTATACGGAAAATCGGAAATCAAAATCCAGTCACTGACCAATACAATTCAAATTTTCAGCACTGACATGTGGCACTGAAGAAAAGAAAAATTGTAGAAAGTGATGGAATCGTAATGCCAAATGGATAAACCATCAAGTGCCACCAACCCGAAGCCTACAAATACCTGGGCATACTGCAGCTGGACAATGTCAAGCATGGGCAAGTGAAAAATGTGGTCAGCATAGAATACACACCAAGGGTCAGAAAAATTCTAAAAAGCAAACTGAATGGTGGTAACACCATCAAGGCTATAAATACCTGGGCCATACCCATCATCAGATATACTGCTGGGATCGTAAATTGGACACAGGCAGAGCTGGACAGCCTGGATAGAAAAATGAGAAAAATGAAGATCATACGCTATGCATTGCACCCACATAGTGACGTTGACAGGCTATATTTGCCCAGAAAAGCAGGTGGCAGAGGACTTTTGCAAGTGAAGCAGATAGTCGAAGAAGAAAAGCATGTTCTGGCAGATTATGTGAAAAACAGTGTTGAACCAGTTTTGATGGAGGTCAACAATAGGAAGCTGCTCAAAGTGCAGCAAACCAAGAATCAATACAGGAAAACAGCGATGCAAACTCGGGCTGACAGGTGTAACAAAGTACTGCATGGACAGTTCCTTGAAAAGATCCAAGGAAAAGTAGATAAGGAAAAGACCTGGTTATGGCTGACCAATGGAACACTGAAGAAAGAGACAGAAGGCCTGATTCTTGCAGCTCAAGAACAAGCCATCAGAACAAATGCAATCAAAGCCAGAACAGAAAAATCTGCTGATGACCCCAAATGCAGATTCTGCAAAGAAGCAGATGAAACCATCAATCACATACTGAGCTGTTCCAAGACAATCGCTCAGACTGACTTACAAACAACATCATAACACAGTCGCTCAGATTGTCCACTGGAACTTGTGTCACAACTACCATCTGCCTGTAGCAAAGAACTGGTTGGCAAGATTTAAATATAGTTAAAAGTGTCTTAAATTAGTTAGTTGGCTCTAATACAAATGCCTATGTAATCTAAGTCAGATTACTATTCCATAGTATTGTATGAACCTCCCCAGCAGTCCCAATCATACTCGCAAAGTTCAGTGGTAAGATTATTCATTTCTGGTGGTAGAAATTGGATATGCCACACTCAAGGCTAAGGATGTTGACAGTAACATTACTTGGCTGCTCAGCCTACCTATTCCTCCCACTATTTTCCTAGCCCCTTCTTTTCCTAACATTCCCTTTGCTACTGCCAATAATTTTGGAGTTTTCCTTTTCTCCTCCTGAAGCATTTTTAGCCAAACATAGACTACCTGGAACTACCTATCTGCACAAAGAATAATGTGTATAGAAGGTTGCATAGCCCTATATTTTTGTCATTTGACAGCTGATGTATGGGAGGTTATATATGGGTTGGCAGCAATTCCATGCATACTTGTAGCATGTTCTGCTCTGTTAAGTCCATTTTTTTCTTATTAGTTCCATATTAGATTGGGAATTCTAAAAGTAATTAGAAGAAGAAGGCAATGGCAAACCTCTTTCGTGCTGATTTCTAGAAAACTTCATGGATTAT